AGCTGCCCTCGCCGCCGCCTCCGCGTCGCTCTCTTTTGCGGCAACGGCCTCGTCCGGTGAGGGGGCGAACGGCGAGCGGAGGGCAGCGAGGCTGCAGCGGAGTGAACGCCACCGTCAGGCCCCTTTGCGCGCCCCTGCGTCTCCGCAGCCGGCAATGTGCCTGTCTCAACCTCCGCTGCAGCCTTCGGATTGGAAGGATCGCCGCCCGCAGTTCCAGAAGGCAACTCTGCACGCTGTGGCTCAAGTGCCGGAGCATCCCCAGCCGCCTCTTCCTCATTCTCTTCCTCCTGCTCCGCTTCGTCTTCCCTTTGATTCCCCTCGGCGTCTCCGTTAGCCCCCTCCTCCTCAACGCGCGGAATGACGAGGCTGCTGCCGTTGGCGGCGATGGTGCACACCTCCTCGTACTTCGGGCACTTGAGCTTCCCCTCCTGCAGATGATCATTTGCCACCACCGTGACTTCCTTTCCCTCAGGGCACAGCACAGGCTCCTTGGCGCCGAGGTACTTCACCTTCACTGCGCCGCCCTCGCACAGCACCTGCGCGCACACACCCTCGATTTTCGTACCACCGGCGTTAGTCTTCACCTGCAGTTCTTCCGCATCCAGGCACCACGAGTTAGTGCCAGTCAGCGACCCAGGGAGAGTCGCCGCAGCTGCGTCCGCGCACGCGTTGGACCTTCTCCCGGAATTTGAATCATAAAAATACGTCGAAACAACAGGGCACACGTCCTTGAAGTGCAGGTTCCCGCTCTGATCAACGATGCCTGTTGTGCACGTCCCGACGTGACGGCGGTCAGAGGAGCAGCGAAGCGTCGCCTTGTCGGTGTCATCACAGAACATATGAGGGTACGTGGTGGCAAGGCGCTCGGTGTCGTTGCACTTCGTCTGCAGGAAGCCGCAGCCGGAGTTGTTGCCCCAGCGCATCGGCTCCGCCATGCCCCAATTTGCGCGGTAGTAGCCAAGGTCCTCAAACACCGCCAGCGTCAGTGCCGTGTAGTAGCCGGCGCCGACCGTGGGAGCCATCAGCTCGTCCCGGGCGTTGCGTCCCTCCCAATGAGGCAACTTCGCTTGCACACCCACAGTGTCCTTCTCCAGCTCCATGCCCTTGAGCGACTCGCAGTTGAAGTGCGCTACCGCCTTCGCTTTGACCGTGTCCCCCGTCACTATCTTGCGGTTTTCTCCACGCACATTGGGCTCTGACTTCACCAGGCTCTTAGGCCCCATTGCCTCGTGGCTGAACCCGAGGGCATGCGCCAGCCCGTGTGCGGCGACGCGGACGCTCCACGCCGACTCGGTCATGTACGCCGGGTTGAAGTTCATGGCGCCGACGGAAGGGCGGAAGTCCTCCAACGTGGCGCACGTGGCGGCCCACGCCGGAATGTCATGGCCGATTGGCCCGGCAGCAGCGTAGAGGACCATGTCGGCACCAGCCACACCCCCGCTCCTCTTGTGCTCAATTGGAATTGTAAAGTGCTGACACGCAACATCGAGATTCCGTGGCAATTCAATTTTCTCAGCCACTGGCTGCACGAGAAGTCGCTCCGCGTGCAGCTTGACGGCCCCGGGAATAATCTTCGTCGTATACAACTCCTTCTTTTGCTCCGTCAGTACATGATCGGCTTTGCAAGTTATCGTTTCCCCCAAGTAGTTCATGCACTGGACCCCATCAGCAGCGCAGTACCTCTTCATCCCCAACTTCTGTGTTTTCTCCTCCAGGTCCTCCGTGGACACCTCGATGCGGATGGGCGCCCAGCCCTCGCTGCTCGTTCCTTCTGCCGCCGCTGCCGTTGCGACGGTGTACGCCTGCGCCGCACCCTGCCCCCTCCGCGGCACCTCACGCACCACCG